TTCTAATACAGCTCATTGCATAATAAATTAAAATTAAAATTTTGTAAAAATGTCAGTAGTACAACTTTAATGTTTTGAAAACAAAGTTGTACTACTGAAGGATTTATGTAAATGGCAATAAGTTTAATCTTAAAGACATTTTTTACAGATATTTACGTGAAAATATTCTTTCAGTTATGCTTGCAAATGTGTTCAAGCGAAAGTCGTAAGCAATGTCAAAAAATGCTAAGCTTTAATGAGCAACATGAAGAACGTGAAATCTATGTTGTCTTAGCTAAAATATTAAATAAAATTCGCTTTGCCAACTTTTCACGAGATGTCCAACTTTGTCATCACTTCAAAGAAACCCTTAAAAAAGTAGGTCAGATTATTTTCGAAAATTTAATTAATTTCTGAGTGCTTAATAATTAAATGTAATAAAGAAAAACATACTTTTACAAAAACAATCATTAAAAATTATATATTTTGCATGAAAATTTGACTTCGATATATATTAAAGTAGTGAAGTATTTACAGAATTTACATGGCAATATTGCTTTATTTTCCAGCATATTTCAAATGTACTGTGTAAACGAATTAGCATCAACTGAATAAAATTTTACAAGTTATCATTTAATAAATATTTTCACAGCAAAATTATGATAAAAAAGTATAAGCAAAAAAATAATGCGAAAAATAACTCACTAAATATATACAAAAAATTAAGTTACAAGTTTGTAAATATTTGAAAAATTTTTTAAAATATAGCACTTAATTACAAAAATACAGTACTTAATAACTATTTTAGTTGGTTCATTACCGTACTCGTTTTTGTGGTGAAGTAGCGAAATGCATTTGCTCAGATTTGAATGTTCAAACAGGTGTGGCACACTGTAAAGCAGGTTGTGATACTATTACTGATAAATTTGTATATACTGATGATCAGGAATTGATTAAATCTTCCTCAAAGTCTAGTAAGATCACTTGCTATGGCGATAACATTCTTGTTTTTGTTATTCTTGTAAGGATATTATTGTAGCTTACAATATTTGTACTGTATGTCTCAAAATTTCCTTTTCAATTATTACTGTATTATTATTAATAAGTTTATAACAATTATAATTCTTTCAAGCAATTACGTTTTTAGCATTATTTATTTAAAAATTAACAATCAAATGTCCATGAGATATTATGAAAAATGACAAGAAATATTATCAGATTTGAGGATGAAACTTTGCTTTGTTTCTTTTTATATTTAAATTTTTTTAAAATTCAAAATTTCCCAAACTTTTGTTTCATATGAGACTGAGGTCTGGATAAGTTGATTATCAGGTTTTAAAAAATTTAAATTTTGAAGAGTGAAAATAATTTGAACGAAATGTTCAAGGTTCTTCATGATTTGTTTTAATGTTTGATAATGTCCTCAACAAAAATACTTAATTAATTATTTATTTACAGTACATATTTTTTTAAACAATATCCAACTTAATCTAGCTTGTCTTCATCTTCACAAATATGTTGAACATGAGATCTAACTCATGTGAGGGCCAGAAAACAAGTGCTGTGAATATTCAGCACAAAAATATATGTGAAATAGTGGATTTAAACGAATTGAAAAATGCTTGCAAAAATATTTTTTGAATTTGAAAGTGTGCATTAAAAATGTCAATTAAAATTTGAATGTCAAAATAAGAAAAGAGCGCAATGCATTTGCTTTTAGATGGCATCTAATTAAAAACTTAAACAAATCGCATAGAAATAAATTTGAGCCAAATATTTGGTATTTACCACACTGAAGTGAATTGGGAGGGAAATTTCATTTTCGTTCAAAAGTTTGAATAGAAAGCAAACAAAATACTTCGCTGAAATGAATGAGAGAACAACGCAAAGTAAGTTTGAATTTGCTTTTGAATTTACTAAATTCAAAAGCAAAAAAATACAAAAAGTAAAATTCTCAATGGCATTTTCAAAAAAAATTTCTTCTTGCGCAGTAAATGGAATGGAATTCATTATTTGTCTGACAGTAAAACTGAGTAAACGATTTCCAAACAATTAAGAATTCTAATTTTATGGCAATAGTAATTTAAAAAGATATTGCTGAAAAGATTTAAAATCTTTCTTTTCAGTGAAAAACTCATTAAAAAATGGAAAATAGAATGAAAATTAGAAAGTTATCGTTGAAATGTGCGAATTTTAACGACTTTTGCACGCAAATTTGTAAAAAAAATCAAAATTGAAATATTTGTAACAAAATTTAAGTATGTGATTAAAATTCATTGAAAGAAAAGCTCTGCTGAAAATCTTCTCCTTCAGATACTAATTTTTGTTGACATAAATATGCAAATTTTTTATGGAAATAAGAAAAAACGATCAAAATATCTTAATGAGTATATGCAAATTTACAGCTCAGTCATTTCTATAATTGCCGAAAGAACGTTGAATAAGCGTTTGCAAAATGAATAATTCATTGCAGATCTCAACACGTTGATATTTATCAATTTTGTTTAAAATTTCTAATGACAATGACTATGAATTCACGCAAAAATAACATCGAAGTTTTATTCTCTTATTGAGAAGAAAAAAAATAAAGCAAAGGAATTGATTCTAGGATTTTGATTACGTGAGGATACGTGTAATAATACGATTTTTATTTAATTACGTTGCAGTTGTTGATTACTTGTTGTTAATTAAGTCTGTATGTAATGATGTGTAGTAAGAACGAAGTGTGGAGAAAGATTGTGCAAAATCACTGAATTCAATTATCACGCAACTAATTGTATTCTCTGCATATTTTGATCGATTCCATCGATCAAATCAAATTACAACGGACAAAAACAATAATGAAGTGAAATTGTGAACTAGATTGACATTACATTTTTCTTTGGAGAAAATCAAAAATAAAATCAGTTTATAATTTTTTAGAATATGTAAGAACCAGTTATACACGTCTTTAAGTCTAAATTACAAACGTACAAACGTATCTTTTAAAAGTTTGCCGCATAAATTTCGGCAAACTTTTAAAAAATACTTCCAACTAAAATCGTTTCTAATCTTTATAGCTTAATATTTGCAACAAATCTTTCACTGAGTGTAATGATCTAAAATACCACGAAATTTGTGAATAAAACAAAATCTATGAGTAACCCACGCAAACTGATTTCTAATACTTCATTTCTGGTTCTAAAAAATGATCCGGTATTTGTAGTGACATTCTGTTACATTGTGGCAAATACATTCTGAAGATCTGCTTGCATCACTTTGACAGTTTGGTCTGCAACTACGTAGTAAGTTATATGATTACGATTTTACTGGAGTCTGTATAGACTGTATTTTAATAATTGTTGATTCAACGTTTGGAGAGAATCATAATTTATGTATTCCAACTCACAAGAATCTAATAATAATCAATTTAGAGAATGTGAAATATTTCATTCTTAATTGTTCTTATATCATGATAAAATGTCCTTCTTCCTAAGAACTTATCTAATTTTCTAAATTTAATATTGTCATATCAAACGGTTTCCTTTTTTGTAATCTGTGTACAGTTCGATATCATATATTTAGTGCTGTTGCAAATAATGTTAGAAGTAACCTTAAAATGCAAAGAATTCAGAACTTTTGCTAGAATTTTACCAACGTCTGCAATTTACATTTAAATGTGCATTCTATGAACAATTACAGGATACTAATAATTTCTTGAAGAATTTTCAGTAATACTAATGAGCATAAGTGATCGTAAATTTTAGGATATGTGGTATGAACAAATTTATTCCAGTGTGATCACTGTTGGATGTGTGGCCATAACGATGTATGCAATGCTACCGATTAACTTGTTAGAAACAGGCCATGCTCATCGTCGTAATATGTCAAAATATAGGTTACTGATTTTTGCGAATTTTTTAGCTTTTAAATTACTTTCACTTTATTGCTTTGATAAGTCTTGGTTTTTCATATACTCATTAAGTTGTTTGAATGGTGCATTAAATTTGGTTTAATTTTTTATGTGATATTTGAAATGCAAAATGGAGTATAAACCTTCTATTTGCTGATATATATTAACATTAAATGATGTGAGATCTCATTTCAGAATTTTACTTAATAAAAGAGACTGGAATTTGACAGGCAACATGTATGAAGTCCAAGGACTTGAGTCGATCCCCTCTGAATCGTCTTCGTAATTGCGATTTTATATTTGATGTCTTGACTGCATTCAGTTCTGTTCTCGGATGGCGTTGTTTATATAGTTTGTCAGTGCGTAGATATTGCGATGTAGATTGTAATATATTTGTATTCCCAAGCCAGAATTTAATGAATAAAATATGTTTGAAGTTGATTTGTTTTGTTTTTTTCACTGATACGTATTGCATTGGGATAAGATTTCGTTTCAATTTATCTTACAGTTTGATATTGCTTAAACACTTAAATGGGACTGGTTTTTAGGTAGTAGAAGATCGGTTTGGCTTCAGCTTTGAATTGAAACTGCATTTCAGTACATGTTAGCTTTCAAAAAGGATTGGTTTGCTGAACCAGTCATACCTTGGAATATACTTGAAGTCTAACGTATGTCACAAAAATATGGTTAATGTCTGATAAAAAAGACAGAAATCAAGCACATTTTGTGTTTTTGTTTGCAAGTATGAACTAAGCAAGGGAAATTCAAAGGAGGTTAATTTGAATTAATTATTAATTCAGTTCAGTAGTTGATGGATAACGATTTATTTATTCGCAGAATACGCTCTAGTTAGTACAGTTTGCAAGTATTGTTTTAAGATGGAAATCTGTGGCGAAGGTTAAATATTTTAAAGATAGAAACAAAATAATTTATTTTAGATGTATTGTGCAATTCAAACAGCTAGTGGAAGGAGTAGAATTTTATTTTGCAAGTTTGGTAAAAATTGTTTTTATTTATAGAAGTTTCTGATGCCAAGTTTGTCCATCGTTTCTATCAAACATTTCTGAATGGTTTTCATATCGAAACTCCATAAATATGGATGGATGTAGTTTATAGACCCTGAGTAGATGGATTCTGAAGTTGTGAGCAGTATCAGTTGATAGGTGCTAATTTTGTTGATTTAACATCTGGACTGCTTTGTTTCGATTTTAGTTGCTGAAGGAATTCTGGATACATTCTTTAATGGTTTGTTTACTTAAATTTCGAAGATACAAAGTTTATAAGACATACGCCAGAAGATTATTAGAATTTGCATACATGCATTATTCATTTCATGCTTAACTTTTTGAGTTGAAAAAGTGAATTCTGTTTGGACTTTAAGATATAAGGCCAGTTTGGAAATCTTATGAGGAATTTAGTTTTTAGGTTTTTAAAGATATTAAAAGCTTCCATTAATAGTTAGATCCAAAAATTATTCCAAAATGATTTACTTTTGAAATTGTTATCTACTATATCAGATGTGATTTTGAACTAATAGTTGAAAACATTTGTATTAGTTTAGATTTATGGTCGTGCTGATAGTTTCCTACGAGGAAGAAAGGTAAAAGCTGTCATTTTCATAAGAGAGGTGATATCTGCCCAGTTGATAGTACTGCGTTCAGTATGTGAATTTTGGATAATATACCGCTTCTGATAATGTGAGTTTTTTAATTAATATTTGATAAAGCTTCTGAAATATGAAGCTGCTGTCTAGAGAACTGTAATTTTTGTGTTGTAAAGGCGAGAAATTTATTTTTGTCTAAACATCTATAAGTTTGATTTGCTTTATTTATAACTTTAATCTGAATCTTGATGAATTTCTTGTTCAAGCATCTAAATAACTAGTTTTTATTTGCATTAAATGTTGTTTTCAAGTCACTTTATTTATGCTAAAGGGTTTTATAATTTCAGAACAAAATTTGCTTTATCATGGAAAATTGTTGAGTGATTTTGAGAAGTTCATAAAAGAATAAAGAATGAATTTTCTTTTTCTTAACTTGAGCAGGTTTGCGTACTTTTAAAATTATGACTGTTTGAGAAGCATGCATGTTCAGTAACTACACTGTGTTGAGATGTGATCAGAAATAAATATGTAGATATTAATCATTTAGATTAATTTATGAAAAGTTTATTGGCTACTTAATCTGAAAGCATTTTTTTGTATTTATCTGTTATAATTTTTACTTTTTAGATAATAAACGATGAAAGCTTACATCACTTGATTGAATTTGTTTGTGAAGACAAAAAGAAAGGTTGGCAGTTGTTCTTAAGATTTTGTATGATGAATTTTGTTTGCTACAAAAAAGAGCCTTTAGAGATTGTAGATTTGTAGGGTCATACTTCTTTATTATCTAGTGTTAGTTACCTCGTTTCAGGCATTTTATTAATTGTTTTTCATTTTACTAATTCTCTTTTTTCAATAAAAATCTCCGTGCAAATTTATTCTACTAATTATGTGTCGTTAAGACTATTTTATTTCAAAGCCGTTTAATTCTTTCTGAAGTCGTTTATGGAGGCTAGATTTGTAGTAAATATTTTTTCTATAAACTGATAGATTTTGAAAGAATATATCAAATTTTCATCGTTTAATTTTTATTCAATTCTTATAGTGCTTTAAAATATTTGTCACTTTTTCCATCCATTTTTCTTTTTTTTCACTCAATGTTTTATTTGAATTTTGTATATTATATACATAGCTATAAATTCATTACCTTTTGTTTTTGAGTGATATTTTTGTTTCATATGGTATCATTTTCTTTCAAATAACTTTTTCTAATTCATTAATTGTATTTTAGAGTTAGCATTTTGGAAGGTATAGATGTAGCAAATTGTTCAGTAGTCCAGATTCATTCCAATTTTTTCCATCTTAATCTAATGGTAGAACGGAACGCAAAAGAAAATTCTCTTATACTTATTAGGTTTTTGCTCGATTACATTGTTGCAAAGGCAATCATTTCACTTTAAGCAAATAAGAGATAATCCATATCTTACAATAATTTCAGATGATAATTTATCTGGTCGAGTATTTCACTGCTAGTGCAGTGCCTTTTCAATTCCATGATTGAGATTTAGTAGCGCTAGAAAAATTAATACCATTTAGCATAATTTTTAAATTTAACGTGAAGTGATTGTCTTCTGGAAGTGATTGTCCTTCTTCTTGTATGTCGTCGCTCCATCAGTTGCCTCGAATGTCTTATAGCATATATGGGTATAAACAGTTTTCAGCTGTTTTGTATTTTAATTTTTATCAAGCTGTATCATAAGTCCACAAATATTTATATTACATTCAATTTTTCAGACATGAATACAAAGTAATTCCGCCACGTTTTCTAAAATTTAGCGCATGTTCAGGTGTTAATTACTTTTTAAATTGCCAATAAAAGCAGTTTTTTTAGGCAAGTTATTAGAATTCTTTTTAGAGTATTTACGTAAAATATTTGATTTTTTCTAGTAATCATGATAACTTACTGATATTAAAAGGATTACTATAGCAAGCGAGTTGACTATGTCATACAAGAATAGATTATGATCTGCTGCTTGAATTTACTGCAGAACATAATCTACTCTTGGTAGAGATCATGTTCACTTCACGAATGAAATGCTGTGGTAAAGATCATGTTCTCTTCAGGAATGAAATGCTGAATTAGCAGATGGCTTCAGTTTAAAAGTTCTACTGATTACATTGTACTTCAGTCATAATGTGGCTCAATAAATTGAAGTTCTTAGTCGCACCACACGGAGGTTTCATCTCTTGTGCATGTTTGCCTACTGTTAACCAGATAGTGAATAATAAATGCAATACTGTATTCAAAGTAAATTTTCACTTGGCTTCGGTTCACGGTCGTGAGCAAATATTGCAGGTATACACATATTTAAACAAAAAATATGTACTGAATAAATTTTTCAATCATGTATTACAGTGAACCTGTAAGAAGAATCATCTCACTATCACATAACTCTTGATTGTGGATTGAGATGGTTGCTAAGTTTTAGTCAAAATGGTTTGATTTCAGTATATGCATGAGATGGATGGTCCACCAGAACGACGTAACCGTAGTCGAGATCACACAGCAATACGCGGGTTTAATTATTTCAAAGGAATCGTTTTAAAAAGTATGTATCCTTACTACTTACCATCTCAAAATCTCAATTCTCTATATCAATACAAGTATTACATGTATTTCGGTTTACTATTCACCTGATTAAAGATTTCTACAGCTCTGATCAGGCATCCAAAGAAACCCAATTCGGGAAACCGTAAATGTGCGCTAGTCCGTTTAAGCAATGGCAAAGAAGTTTGTGCATATATTCCAGGTGTTGGTCACAACTTGCAGGAACATTCTCAGGTTTCAATTTCATCCAAAGAATCCATGTTCTCTAGTATAAAAAAGTAGTCTCACGAATTCTGTTTGTATCTTATGTCCTCCAGCACACACTTCACTGTAAAACCCTACCCCTTTCATGTTCTGAGATCTCTTTACTTAGAAATGACATATCTCACCCAAATTGTTTTTCTCATCCAATTAATTTAGGATTTTCTTTCAATCCTATTGTTTTATGCTAGTTGCGATTCCACTTCTGTTATTAACATGACTAAACAAACAAATATCGCGAACTCATGTTAAGTAAGATACCTCAAAACCAAAGCCACAAACGCATCTTTTTAATCTTCTACCGAAACAAATCTCTAAATGATATATCACATCCAGTTTGTTTCTATTTTCCTAAATTGTAGTTTGAAAAATATATAATTACAAATTCCTTACTTTCAATAACTTTAAATTCAATAGATTGTCATTACCCATTGTTTGGATACCCTCACATAAGCCATTATTTATTCAAAATGCTTTCTAACTTCATTCCATAACTTCAGTTTCTTGTTAACGAATTTTCTTATTGATCAAATCATAGTGCATATAAATCTCTTCATATTAAAACTAATCACAGGTAATGGTACGTGGTGGGCGCCGACGTGACCTTCAAGGTGTACGAGCAGAAATAATACGTGGTAAACTTGATTGTGCACCATTGCGTAAAGCAGTAAAGAAAGCGGCAGAGAAGAAAGCAAAGATATAAGCTATTATACAAAAAAACCTATTTTGAAGACAGCGCAATTGAAAGTCTACTTTTTCGATAATCTTAACCTACATTTAAAAAATAAGTGGCTTACTGGGATCATAAAAATTCGGAACTAATTTTATTGTGCTTAACAAAAAAAAATTGCACGTACTTCAGATCATTTAGTATGTTGCACATGATAGTACTTGTTTTGTAAAACGTGGTCAGCTATTCTGGTATTTATTGAGTCAAAATGCCAAGAAAAATTGTTTTTGAGAAAGTCTTCAAAAAATTTGTTTTAAAGTTAACGCTATAAAACTTGCAGAGCTTCATTAATTACAAGACAAACCACGTTAATGAAATCCAATTGTAATATGAAGCTTTTAGTCTACACTCAAAGCTAAAGCTCAGTCAGTGAAATTGCTTTAAGATCTATTCAAATGTGACGAGTAATAATTCTAAACAAAAAATAAATGATTATGAACATGGTTTTCAAGTTAGATTTTATAAAATAGCAAAGTGGATAAAAATTTATAATTTGACTATTTAGTTCAGTAAACAGAACAATGAGCTTCACCGAAACTTTACTATGCAGAACAAATTAGGTGATATTATGCAATACTCAGACCACTACTCTTTATATCTCCATTTGACAATTCCGAATTTTGCAACTTGACAAGTATTTCCGGCCGTATTTTCAACTTCTTCGATTTCTCCCATGCGAACTGTGGCTTTCCAAAATGTCCATTACTCGCAGTGGCTTTATAAATCGGTTTCAATAAATCCAGTTCTCTGAAATATGAAGTGCTGATTACAATGGGCTCTGCTGCATGTCATAATTAATAAAGCAATTTTTCTATGTAAATTCTTTCCTATGAATGTTCAAAAATTCTTAAACCTTTACAAAACTGACATTATATTAGAAATCTTTTATGAAAATATAACTTGCTCAGAACAAACAATACCTTTCTTACCAATAATCTAGTCTAACAAGTATCAAGTATGAGCTAAACTATCATAAAAATCAATGATTTAGCAGTTAAGTTCTTTTTGACAATTACTGTTGTGAAACAATACCGAGTGATAACCCCAGGCCGAAGGTCAAAATTATCATTCACTATAGTTAGCAGTTCATCCTCTGTCAGATTACTCGTACCATAATCTACAACTGTTATTGAGAGTGGTTCTGCGATACCAATGGCATAAGATACCTATAAGTTGCTGACAATAAAAAAATTACCACTGCGATTTTGTAGTAATTTGTAATGCTGAATTCTTCATAAGATTAGACTTAAAATGAGTCACATCACAAATGCCGAGGCATTTACATGCTCCTCAATGAAGATCAAGGTACCACTATAATTGCAAGAAATCCAGAAAATACCTGAATCAAACATCGCTTACAAACCCCGCCATCTACGAGTGATTTAGCAACCCACCGAGCACCATATGCTGCGGAACGATCTACCTTAACATGCCAGAAATAACGTACATATTCAAAATAACAAAATTCGACAAAAAGTAAGCGGCTAAAAACGTTAGCACAGTTATGATCCAAAAAAATTTAGTAAAATTTACATAAAAATTTTTTATTAATAACGTATCATATAATGTACCTTGCTTGGATCTTTGCCAGAAAAGGCACCTCCACCGTGAGCACCCCAACCGCCATATGTGTCCACTATGATTTTACGACCAGTCAATCCAGCATCACTTTGAGGACCACCACAAGTAAAAGTGCCACATGGATTCAGATAGTACTTGGTCCCTGCATCTAACAAATGCTCTGGAATTACATCCTGAAAAAAATAAAAATATAAAAAAATTTTTTGAAGCTAAACACCATCCGGCAAAAAATTTTCCGGATGTAATGAAACGATAATAGAAAAGTGAACTCTAGGCCCATTAAAGCAATTTAGTTAAAACCCGAATTTTAATATGTAATCTTGACTTCAGCATAGACTGAAGTGATTTGACTTATTTCAAATATTTTGAATTACTTCTGCAACTATTTAACAAGGCAGTTAATTATCGTAATGTATTTTTAAAAAGGCTTCTTTCGTGAACTTAACATGAGAAAAGACTTACACGAATAACGTGGTTAATTAAATCAGCGCGAACTTTGTCTAAAGAAGTCGTAACTTTGTGCTGAGCAGATATAACGACCGTATGTACTCGAATCGGTATACATGCCCCAAATTCAAATCTATATTCTACTGTTACCTGAATTACATCACATTACCAGTAATAATCACATCCATTGATTTTGATAACTAAAAAAATGTGAAGGTTACTTTTCTTTTTCGCTTTAATGATTCTGGTGCTAAAACGTTTTCCGGCACTCTAACTGTACTAGTCCCGCCTCAGATTTGCTGTGCTGATCATTTCCGACTCGTCCTTGTAAAATCTCTAACGACTACCGAATGAAATGCTTTCGAACGTCCTCTTGAGCACTATCGACTGATCAGATTTACTGATGTCCTTCGCATAACGTTCGTGGAAGTTCGTTACAATCTTATCCCATGTCATCCCATACGGAATTATTTTGGTCCTTCATTTCATTTGTGACATTAGATCATATTTTTGCTTTTTCTCCTAACTGCAGTCAATCTGTCCTAACTAGTGATGATCTCTTGGCGCTTCTTATTGTGTATCATATATCCAGTCGACAAGCACTTATCTTTATAGTTGTTCTTAATCGCGTATCGACTCCGAACTCTATCTTACTTTCCCACTGTTAATAACTTTCTGAACAAAATTTCTTCGCATGCAGGGGAATGATTTTAGACCATACTTGTTGCAGAGTCCCAGATAGATGCATAGCAAATCCTCCTCATGTCTTTAGTACAGTCGCGGTATAACATTTTTTAGCACTGCGTTGCTAGATGGCCGACCGTCTTCACACATTCCCTACAATGTTGGCACTTTATTAACTTTAAACATATTTCTATTTTGGAAGAAGCAGTATCGTGCTTCATCTGGAAGTAGTGTTTTCTGTAAATTGATGAATTAAATACCGACGACATTTTATTCGTTCTCATCTTGTATAGATTTGCAAGATTTTTCTATTTCGCTATACAAGAACGTTTTCCAGGCTGCTAATAGTTTTCGACAGTTGTATTTCCAACGAGATTGTACCTAGTCTTTAGATAGGGTACAATAATTGCGAAGTACATGTTATAAACTTTTTATGCTTCAAAATTGCCGTCTTCCAAGTAGATATGAGCACGGTTTTTACGAGTACGTTATGAAGCTGCAAAAGCATAAGCTCACTCTTTTGTTCAACGCAGTGAAGTCCACGTCTTACTCGTCCCTTGGCAGGAACATTTTCTCTGAACAAGCAGGTTGATTGTGAATTCCCTATCTATTTAGTAACTGCCTGATATCATTTCTTTTATATATTTATATTGCTCTGCTCTGCCGAGTTGCCAAGTGGTTGAGCTGCCATTTAGTCGATCGCATCGCAAAGCGGGAAAGCAGGAAATGGAGGAGAAACGAAAAATGGCCGAGTTTGGAATCATAAATAAAACAAATGGAAAACAGATGAGGTTGTTGAAGAAAGCTCCGTGACGGATCTGAAAAGCAGTCGACCAGTGCACCAAAACCAGCAAAACGGATTGGTGGTCGAGTACAGTGAGAGTGCCCAAATACGATCCAACGCGAGTACCAAGAAAATAGAAAAGTAGATTAATATCCAACCTGCTGCACATGATACATATAGAAATATAAACATATATAAACTATCCAATCCACTTATGTTGTATATGCAAAAAAATCACAGCACAAAAAAAACCAAGTACCAAGTTATTCCAGATCGAAAGCTAAATGAAAAAATGAGTACCTGTGACTTCGAATCAGGTAAGGCCCATTTAAGAACACCACTTCTTCTCAGCTCATGTAAACGTGCTAACAACTTATGAGCTAACAACAAAGACAATGGCATACGTTCTTTCGTCTCATCTGTCGCGTAACCAAACATAAGTCCCTAAAAACCCAAATTTATTTCTTAGTTTACTATTTTTTCCCTCTCAAATAACAAAAACAAACAAGATTATTTCATGATATAATAAAAAGCAATGTTATGGAAAGATCAACTTAATATTATTTCTTTTCAGATCCAACTGACACAGTTTGATCACAATGCAAGGAACAACATTCCAATCTTCACTTCTTTCAAAAGTAAAAAAATCAAAAACTGATGTATGACTTTTTTTAGCTTCATTGTTTTCAAGAGGATAGGAGATGCAATCAATATTTGTAGTAGAAATGGAGAAATACAGCTTTAATTTCGAAAACACTGTTACAGGATTTAATTACAGTACTGTAATATAATGAAATGAGTAGGGGAAAGAATCAACCTGATCACCAGCACCAATCTCTTCCTCTTTTCGATTCAAGTGCACTCCAGCCGCTATTTCCGATGCTTGCTGTTCTAGTGCTATTAGCACATTACATGTTTTATAATCAAAACCTATAAAATATCCAGTTCTGTGGAAACAGCACACAGTCATATAACCCCTTGTTCATAAACTCTCCACTGACATAATGGACACTCAGCAAATAATGAGAAGTACAAAGTTTGCTAGAAACTCGTGAATGGTTCTCTATCAATTTCTAAGAATAAAAGACCCTTGGAGATGTCGTCGAATCCTATTTGTTGAACTGTGTCCCTAACGATCTGATAGTAATCAACTTTTGCATTAGATGTAATTTCCCCACACAGCATTAACATGCCCGTTTTGGTTACCGTTTCTGTAAGAAAGTAACAACATTAAACGGACATGATCTTCAGCTGTTCAGAGGAGACTAATTTCAAAAGTATGATTCACACTGGAAAATACTCTGAAAGAAATCTGACAGAGATAAGTCACTCAGAGAGCATCAACAATGTCTGCCCAAATACAAGAAAAAGAAAGACTGATAAAGCTTTCACACCAAGAAGACTAATTATATAACGAAATAAAATTTCTATAATAGTGCTTTTGCAGTCAAATCCTTCAATAATTGAAGTCGATCTTTAAACGACTGTGTAAATTATTGCATTAGCAAACTGATGAAAGTCCTCTGAATTAACTTTCTAACCACAAGCAACTTTTGCATTTGGATCTTGAGCAAGATGAGCATCCAAAACAGCATCCGAGATAATATCACACATTTTGTCCGGATGACCCTCACTTACTGATTCAGATGTAAACAAAAACCTTTGATTGCGAAAAAGTTCTGAAAATTTTAATTTAATTTAATGAATAACAAGAAGTTTACACTCAAGCTAGCAAAAATACAACTTAATACTTTGAGAATAACCATATTTATTGATGTGAAAGTCAATAAGTCTTTTAAACACCACCTGCCATTTCTGTATTAAAGTCATATATGTGTAAATGATTTCGCTTATGGTTTACAGGCAGGAACAGAGAGAAGTAGTATACTGAGAAAATCAAATATTTAAGTTTTACAATTAACCTGAAGTATTCCGATGTAAACCAAATCCATCATGTGCCATTCTTATAACGTCTTCTAAATTTCCGATACTTGAGACAGCTAAAGTTCAATGTGTATTTTTGAACACTGGAAAAGACAAGACACTTTCTTGAAATACAACAAGGTGTACAGAAAAAAATAAAACGTTCACTGCGATTAATCAGATTTCATTATTTTTAAGATAGCCAATCTTTGGAACAAATTAGAAAGAGTAAGTTTATTTGAACTTTTAAACCAGCTTTTTATAAGAAAAAATTTTAAGGCCTTGTACACATAATGAAGATCAAAGGTCAAGGTAACTATGACAATTGGTCTAAACATATATAACTACAATCTTTCGTCCTAAATTTGTAGCGATGAAAGAAATTATTTCGTAGTCATGTGGAAAATATAAACAAGAACACTGGTTTAGGTTAAACATAACACAGAATGATCAATAACCTTACTGAATTTTTACTTTTCCACCAGTCTGTTATATAATCACTGTCATTCATAAAGTATTACAAAGGAAAACCAATGAAAACTTGATTTAGAAACGCAAATATAGACATCTTGCAGAAGTAAAGTTCGACTAATTTGGTCGAGTAATTTAGTCTGAGAGTTATATTACTTTGACTAAAACTCTAATACTGAGTTAAAATTTTCAGTGTTTTAACAATAAATGCAATGCCCAACGAAAGATTCAAAAATTACATGTAGTAGTTCAAAAAATATTTAAAACTGATGTAATTACCATTTTTAAATAAACATTACTGCTAAAATTCAAACAAGAACAGCGGTTCAGGTTAAACATAACATAAAATCTATAAATAACCTTAGTGAATTATTACTTTTTCACCAATCTTTTATATAATCATCGTCCTCTATTAAATATTTTTTTTTTTTTAAAAATAAACATTAAATTCGTATTTCTTGCAAGCATTATCAAGGAAAATATCGTGTATTCGTGAAAAAAATAAAATGCGACGAAAAAAGATGCGTAAGTTAACGAATAAGATGAAAGTTTAAGTATTTGTTTGCATTTGCATTTGTGAGCAATGACTTCCAAACACGGCAGATTGTATTCAAGTTGCAAAAAAAATGAAAAATGTGAGCTGATAAACAAATTACCATATTTTTAGCACAATAAACTTCTACACCGAATGATTTGCATTAGTGTAAAACTGATGTAAAGTAAAATATAAGGAAGTTAATCATTTTTTCATAACTTGAATGAGTACAAATTATGAAAAAAACATTTTAAGGAAATAAATTTCAATTATAAAATTTAATTCTAGAAGCAATGAAAACGAGATATCTAATGCCAACATTAGCACAAAATGTCGATAGCAAAATTTCATGTATGAATTTCAAAAAATAAACAAGAATTTTGCATATTTATTATTCTTCACCATGATAGTATCAAATTAATAAACATTAATCACCTTACAATCATGATTAGTTATCAAAAGTAATTAGTACATGCGAAAAATACAATATGTAAGAATAATATCTACCATTAAAATAAAGTGCATCACAATGAATAAAATCTTTTTCGTTCAAATTATTAGAATTAAAAAACAAAGATAAAATACTATTATTTTCAAAAATCAGATGTATGATTAATGAACGAATATTCTCAAACTGATTGGAATACTACAATAAGTAAATTACTTAATATAGAAAATACTAGAATTAAGGAACAGAAGCAAAATCTCAATATTCTCAGAAACTAGTACTTGAGAAAAACCACTCTGATTCACAACCTGAATTACAGAAATTGCAATATTGAACGCTAAAAGTTTCCCCAAATATATTTTTTAGGTTAGTTGTCAAATAGCGACAATTCAAAGTTTATGATCAGAAAGGAAGTCGAAGAATGTCTACGGTAGTACTGATTTCAGTATAAATTGAAGGTAACACGTTTAAAATTAAACACTTTAATTGGGATGGATTATAAAATTAAATGAAAATTAAGGAACTATTTTTTTTGTCGTTCTCACTACGTGTTGAAATTATTTCGTAGTGAAGGAGAAAATTGCAATAATTTGTTTCAATCTCTCAATCACATTTAAGTAAGGACGTAATCACCTACCTTAATGGTTAATGTGTAATTCGCAATCAAGATAAATTCCAAAAAATATGTCAGAAACATTGCTAAATTTTTGTATCTATTTTTTTCTTGATAGAGCACAACTTAAAAATGTTTCTGAAAAACTATCAGGGAGAATGAAAACGTGATAGAAATTGAGGCTATAGGGAATTAATAATGCCTGCATTAAGATTAGGTCCAATTTTTTTCCCTCAAGAAAATACACGACCTGTAAAAGTTTTTATGGCACCGTTAAAAATAGTGAAAGTTTTTTGAAAGTGAGCCTACATTAAATCAGTAAAACGACGTAATTAATTACTTTAAACAGGCATTCATTAATTACTATCTCCGAATTAAGGACTAATTTTCAGAGCTTTCGGGCTCTAAATTATTAATTTCGTATTTGAATACTGAAACAGATGACATAGTATTCTATTTTCGTTTGTATATATTCACACATTTGTCAGGTAAATTAATAATAAAGTAAATGATATGATAAAGAATTAAGTCACACCATTAGATAATGATTTTCAAATCACACAATCACCAAAAGTTTTCAAATCACTCAATCATCAAAGTTTATCGCAAATTATTTCTAAACCTGATGTCATCTGTTGTAGCACTAATGACAATTGAGTTTCATAATTCTTGAAAAATAAAAAATTATATTTGGCAGATTTTCCAGGAAATTTTGTTTAGCTGGAGGTCAGAGTTCATCGTGAGGCACTAATATGTTTACAGAATATAATTTCTTTATCTTATGCACACAGTTGATTGATTGTATACATGTGAGTATATTAATGGCTTAATAATGTGACTTAATTCATTATCATGTGGTTTTCTTATTGCTAGTCATTTATTATTATTACATTCATTTTTATTGTTAATTTTCAATTATTATACCATATTAGATTCGGTAAAAATGGTGGAAAAAGGGTCGATGTTGGAAGAAACTTCTTCAAATAGTACTACTTCACCACGTCTTCGAATATGTGATATGTGTCAGAAGAATGTATGGAAATATCGTTGTCCACGTTGTTCATTCCGTACATGTTCTCTTTTATGCTCTAAAGAACATAAGCAAAAATTTGATGTGAGTTATTAGCATAGCTTTGTTGCTTATTCAATGAAACTATTTTTTTTTCTTTTTTTGTATATAAACTAATATTTAGTATAGTTAAGAAATTTTTTTGTTAATGACAATCTAGCTTTTATTTAGATTGTTCAGAAATTCCTCCATGTTTTAGTGTTCTGGCGAACGAGAGAAGTCATTCGATGTACTAAAAAGGCTTGATGATTACTCGCCAGTAGTTGCTATTGACGACGAAAAGTTTTTAAATAAGATCACCTCGTCATTAAAAAACAATCCTGAAAATTCAGTGGAAAAGCCTGAACCAGATATTCTTCTTTCCATTCCGCAGTCTCGAGAAAGCAGAAGTATCCAGGAAATAACTACTAATACAAAAGATGATGAAAAGCTTGGTAATGATGGAAACGTTACTGTTCCAGTCAAAAATAGTGAGTGCACCATGAAAGAGATCAATGATGAAAAAGAATTAACATCAAAAGAGGTTTTTCTCTTGTATGACCTGAAAGTGTCATTTAAATAAATTCGATGTATACTTCACTGTTACTTCCGTAAATATTAATAAGTTTATCAATATCAATTCTGATTCTTGTTGCTCGTTAACAGCTATTTTTCGTTCCTCAAAATTTTTTGCTTCGTAGGTAAATAATATTGTTTATAGCAAAATGCCGTAAAAGAGCTAAACTTAAATCAACTAGAATGGAAAGCAGTTGCTGCAAAACGGTATTTAGTCAATAATGCTCATCGGCGACGAATTTGGCTTACTTTAACGCCTGAAAAAGGTTTCCACTGTAGAGTTTCAATGATGGGATAAGCTTTTATTTTCTGATGTATTTTATATTTAATGGTTAAAATAATTTGTTTCACTTCTCATGCTAAGGTTCTACCATTTTTTTACAAATATTTTTTGAATTGTTTATTTAATTATAAAAAAAATGTAATATGTTAAACTTTGAGAGCATAATAGTTCTCGCCATGAACAATATTCGGATACTATTTTCTGGACCATCAAGATAGTTTTTCGACGGGAAGAAGACCTTGAATCTGGAAAGCGAATTATTAATGACGAGTACATGGTAAATAATATTCCAGAGACTATAACTACAGCAACACTTTTACGACAATTTATCAAGCCTAAACAAGTAAATTTTAGCAATTCTAATTTTATCACAGTAAGGTTGTCGTAGGAGAAACATATTTTTGTGTTGTTATGATCTCTATGTTTATATGTACTAAGCACCAAAAATATTTTTACTTTTCGGTTACATTTTGTCTTTCTTTCTTAACTGTTGCATGCATTATGCTCTGGCAAGTTTGACTCAAAGTTTGACTCCTTTGCACATTTGTTCAAGTAATTTGCCTTCAAGTTTTTATGTTTTGAATAATAATAAGAATATGTCTGATTGTGATTTCGTATCCATTACTAAAAAATAATGAGTATTATAGGTTGGGCCAGTCATAAGCAAGTCAGATTTAAATGCTGAAAAGATGGCACCTTTTTGGGAAGCTGGTATGGATAAGTTAATCTTATATATGCCTGTCCCTATTGAAGATAAACAGCGGTATGTCATTGAAAATTTTATTAATTTATTAATAGCTATACAAAACTTATCTTCATAAAAACTTTATCAGTGAGGAGAGACTTTTATTAGTAGACCACCATTCTAAAGTATTTGTTATCTTTTTAATCGTCATTACTAATATTGTCACATTAAATTCATTCGTAATGGGACTCTAAGGTTTTTTTAGTTTTTACGTGATCGATCAGACAAAAACAATTTTGGATAATATGAGAAATCGTTTTATCCTGGAACACCCGACTTTTGTTATTACGTTGGACAATCAGTTCAATGATTATGTGATGCTTAGTGAACAAGAAGCACAAGAACTTCGTGAATTACAGCGGCAAAAAAATCGGGCTGAAAATCAAAGTCGACGTCACAATAATGTCGGTTTGCATTGTTGTTGATCCCGTTTGTTTAGTGATTTTACTGAGTTAAATTTAATATTTTTTTAAAAAGTTGGAATTTAAATTTTTATTTTCTAGTATCATGGTAGGGGTCGTTCTGATCATGCTTGGTTCATGAATCGTAGACAGAATAATGGACGAGGATTTAAGAGGCCTCACTGTCAGTCTCATGATAGAGGTAATCAAGGGCCAGGCAGATGTTGGAAGTTTGGACGACCATCTCGGGCTGGCTATTTTCAGGATCGTTTTTGTTCACGGTGAATAATTTTTTCATTTTGCACCTTGATAATAGCTTACTACGTTTACTCAAAGATCTCTGTCCAGAACAGTCTTCTTCCTTCTAAATGAAGTTCATGATTAGAGTGAAATATATTTATGTATTTCCAATCAGTTAGCCATTGCTTTCTTCTGTTGACTTGGTGTGCAGAAGTTTTTCTTGATCGAAGTCACCATTAAAAAAACATTGCGATATAACTTTAATTTCTGATTTTCAGTGTTCGAAACATGTCTGAGATGTCACTGTCAGGTTTTGAGACTGAAAACTGCAATGAGCGTTCATCGTCTTCTTTAGAGAAAGTTAGTCAAAATGCAGATGTACAGTCTAAAAGTGTGGAAGTCAAGCCTAAAATTCTAGATAACAGTGCACATGATTTAATAGCTCAATTGTAGTCTTAGCAGATTGAGTCTCAGTCCGCATTGTTATTCTTTTTTGAGTTCTCTTTAATATATCACGCTCTGATTACATTTTGTAAATTCATTTTGCTCGGTTAAAATATGTGACTTCATTTCAAGAGAGTCTTGCAAAATATAACTAATTTTTTTCCTAGCGCAATGAACATTTTGTTAGGAAGGTCAAACTTCTTGGACTTTATTCATAATTTAAACATTTCAGTATTTTTTTTGTAATCTAACTAAAACGAAAAAATTCGCCATGTGCGAAATGAAGACGTTAGAATTCCATAACAATTGCTTATTTTACCTGAGTTGTATCTTGCACAAGCGAAAAAAAGATTCGCTTATGCATTCACATCAAGGATATCGAGATGTCTTTTCTAGATATGTTAAACGAAGTAGTTCTAGATTTAATTCACTTCAAAATTGTTATATCTGTGGGTGAAGGAGAATTTAATTGTTGAAAGTTCAGTTGAGTTAAATATGCAATTACAGTATTACATTTCTGGTCTTGTTATGTGCTTAGTTCGAATTGTTGCGATGGTGGGAAAAAAAGGTTCTAAAATAGGAAGCGTTATAGATGTGTGTTTTCTTGACTAAACTGCTGATCGTTCTATGATATGAGAAGCTGAGAGTTGAATGTGGTAAAAAATTGAAAAGAGTTCATCGGTTATAATTAATACTAAATGTTAAACTTCTGAGTTGAAAAGTAGCAGAAATGGAGGAAAATCCTTTAAAAGAAGTTTAAAACTATATTGGTCGGATTATCGAAATTTAGTGCAATTTGCATATTGATTGCATACACAGCATTTTTATTTGATTGATTGAAATAGAGAAGGAAATGACTGAGTTATATTATGTGTCGGATTAGAAATGTTTGAGAATATAATATTTTTTGGGAATTACATGTTTTTATAAAAGTGGTATTTGAAAGTTCAAGCATCAGGTTGGCATTGTTCTACTGTTATTATTATATGCTAATAAACAATACTCGAACACTTTCCATGTTAATTTAGCTAATATTCTCGTAACTTTATCAGACATCATGCGACTGATTAAAACAAGAATTTATCCACATCATCATCACACATTGTGGTTGATACGTTCTTAACCTCAGTGTCAACATATGACTGTAATTGCTTTACGTGCAATCAATCTCACGTAATTACGAAAACTTACATAAAGGACAACAACTCCACATGATTATGTTAAAAATTTGCATATCCTTAAATATCCCACCCACTGACTTGACTGTCATAGTGCATGTATTCCACGACTACTCTTCGATACTTCCATTGTTTCACAGATTTGCACATCGGTTGGTAGTTTTCTTTGGCTTTGTTAGTTCTTACTGTATTTTCTCTCTAATTTTTTTTTCTTAAAATATTTACGTGAGACTTGTAGAGCTTGTAAAAAAAAGTAACAACTTTTCTGCTTCTTTTTCGATTATAAATATACATATATATTTTATTTTATAGCAAGTTATATGCATTTAATTTAAAAAATGCATAATTAGTATTCAAATTTGTTGAATTAAAATATTGTGGATTTTAATGTACGCAACTGTGACGTTAACGTTTTCATTCTTTTTTTCGAAATGCAAAATATAGAATCGTGTCACTTTTTCTTACCAAATTCTGAGACTAAATACTTTGATGATTCTTGTACCAAAATATGGGACTTCCTTTGATGGAAAAAAACTCGGATTCTGGGGCTTCCTTTGGTGAAACAAAACTCAGATAACTCAGATTCCTGGACTGAATACTTTGATGATTCTTGTACCGCAATATGATAAATTTGAAAAACGACTTATTTTTGATAGCAGCTCATATTACTTGTCTAAACATTATCCTTCAAAATAGTTTTTAGTATTAATATCACTATTTATTTATTACCGCTGATTCAAATCACATCTACATGACTTAATTACATTATGTCTTGACATGCTTCTGTCAATTTGTAATCACTTTTGCTTCATTAAATATCCTAAAAATACAAAATTGAGGATCATTAATTATTAAAGTTGTATTATGTAAAGCAAAAATAATCAACTGCACAGTATCATCCATAAGCTTTAAATTCATAAGATTTAGTTATGATGTTGGAATGTATGTCGCAAACATTTTTGAATTAATATTTTTTTGAAACAATGAAAACCATTTTTTAAGTAATGGACGAAAAACCACGTGTTGGGCTTAAAGATAGCGCGGAAAGAATACGTGGAAAAGAACGGCGTCGAAGGAAGAGGGGTGAGGGGGCTAAAAAACAAGTAAAAAAGTATTCAAATATTTTATTCTCTTGCATGACCGTACGTCAATTGCGTAATTTAATCAATCAGGTAATTTTTTTTCTACTTGAAAAGAAAATACTCATGAAAAGAATTATCAAAATTTTTATGCTATGTAGAATTCATAATTCTATTAATATTCGATCGAAATGTCGCTACTTTTTAGTGATTTGTGATCATTTAATTAAGATTTTAATAACATTTTCAAAAAGTGAATTTCTACACATTATTAGTCTTCAATATTGGAGCAAAAGATCGCGAAAAATTATTCGCAAATGATCACGTCGTACCAATCGATAAGTGAATTAAGTAATTAGTGTAATCTATGAGATAACTGATTTAAGCTTAATAAAAATTACTTAGCTTTTATGCTGTAATCGATGGATAGATTGGTTCCAGTGATTAAAATTTTTGATCAAAATTAGTCAATAACTGTTGATTATTTGTGAATTGGAAATGAAATTTGAGGTGGAACATGCAAATGATCATAAATCAGATATAGACAAATTGAATACAAAATCAGATACCACCGTAACTCGACGTATACCAGTAAGTAAATGTAAGCAAACAAAAGGAACGAGACGATCACGTCAACAACGTTTGTTTTGAATACAAGTTTTTTTGTTATGTGTTGTTGATTTTAATTGTCTAATTTCAGTAAATAAATATAATATAAATTACTAATTTTACTCTAAGACACTTCAAGTTATATGACATAAAGCTTGGAACTGCGGGGAAAAATTAAAATTTGAATAATTAGTTTTATTCATAAATTGTTAAAAATGAAGTCAAAAACTTGGTTTAGAATTAGGTAGTGTTAATTTGGTGCAATTAAAGGCGTCCGTCATATGATAATTTGTAGGCGGATTGGATCAAATTGTTATTCAGAATGTTGTTCGCATGAAAACTTTTCCTGTGGCATCCATATCAATGGGCTTATTTATGGTATCGTACAGTACCAGGACTAACATTGATTAATAACCTAATTCTATTTGCATAAGAATTTTTTAATCGATAAATTTTACTCATAATTAATCTTGCTTAAAAGGCGTCATGTGATAATTTGTAGGAGGATTGGATCAAATTGTTATTCAGAAAAAATCAATAATTTTTATGTGATATCCCAAATTTTAATTTGCACAGTGTATAAATTTTTTGAGTTTTTAGAAATTTTATGAAAAGCAAAAAAATTATGCATGAAGCGTGTTTTTTGATAGTAGTTAAAATTTGGGATATCAAATAAAAGTTATTGATTTGTGCAGTAATTAAAAGAATATTGTGTAATTACTATTTGTAAATATTCAAAAAATGATATAAAAAAATATTTTAGGCAAATGACCGTGGCTCTTCAGAAACGGATTGCAGCGTGACATTTTGTTTTTTCGCTCGTCATTTAAGATATGATTTTTCATACAGTTCAGATTCTGTATTCTATAGAGTTGGCTATAGAATCGCTTTTAGCAGCTTGAAATCAATTAATTTCCAAGGACAGTATGTTAATTTGAAGGTTAGTACTTGTAGACGTACAGTACTAGCAAGCACTTAAAATTAGCTTGAGTATTTCTATTTTGAATTTCTTAATTACATGTTATATTGAGTAATTAATTAATTATTTAGTTAATAATTTAATTATTTTCACTATTAACTTATTATATTGCAAGTATGAAAACTAAATTGTTTGCTCACTGTGGTAGTTTTCAAATTTTCAACTATTACTTCCCTAATTTCCAGATTTTTGTATAAATTAAAATTTTAGCTTTTTCCCCTCCAATTTGAATATCATTTCAATAGTTTAAATATCACGCACATAGCACAAGAATTTTAAAAATTACATACCGGATTAGAAAATGTTTGAGGATATAATATATTTTGAGGAGTACATAAATTTTTACCCAGCTACATTTTTCAAAATACGGTAGTATTTATCGTATTTAAAAAACTAAAAATGCTTTTATGGTAATATCTAGCTGATAATATTTTGTAAATTTAAGTACTTTTAAAAACTGCATATATTCGTGTGAAGGAATATATAAGTTTTGACTAAATTGCTCAAGTTTTAGTTGCTAGTAATTTCGATTATTCATGCATAATTTTGCATTTTTATACTTATAGTTATTGCAACCAGCGGAACATGATTACTGTAATCGAGAGTATATGGTGAATAACAATCGTACTGTAGTACCATGTAACGATTTTGACATTACTTTAGGACAGTATCAAACGGCTCTAACGCATGTTATTCGCATGAACGGGTATACGGTTTCAATTATTACTAATTATTCACAACAAATTATTTCAATTATTATTAAAATTTTCGCAAAATGTGTGATATTATGCTAATTTTATCACATTTTCTGGCGTAATCTATAAAATTTTATTATTTTAAGAACACGAAGATTAGAAAAAATTTCAACGATGAACACGATAGTATTTACTGTACTCACAAAGCTAGAAATATTTTCATGATAATACCTAGCTGATAATAATTACAGTGATGAATCACCTGCATGGATTTATCATTTATTAAATGCTGATCGACAATTTTTTAAATCATTAATACGAAAAGGAACTGAAATGGCGGATGGAAATACTACGGAAAGTGATGTTATAAATAATCCAATGGATTCGTTGCCATCAAAGGATACTGTAATGGATTTGAATTTAAATTCTGATATATACAGTAATGAAAGTGATGCTCAGAATTTTCTTTCATCAAAGTTTACATCGGCAGAAACACTGTATATTGCGCAGCCAACAAGTATGACTGATGTAGCGTTTCCTGTCCGTTATGATGAACAGTCATTTGCGCATTCATCAATGGCTCCAAATTATATGCAATATCCGGTTAAATTTAATATCTTAATGCATACTTAGTTTGATACTCTGTGTGAAAACTGAACAAGTTGTAGCGAAATGAATTAAATACCTAATATTTTCTGAAAGGATTAACTTATAAGTACTGTAATTTTCTGAAATAGCTAACTCATAAATATTATAAATTCGTTTTTGGTTTGAAATGTTTACTTAATATTTAGGTAGTTAAGGTAAAAACCTTCTGTTAAGTGAAGAAATGTAAAATTACATTTGATGAAATTTCGTGAAATTAATAAAAACATGATAAATGACAAATCCATTTTTGTAGGTGATAAACGATTACTTTAATGAAGGATGTGATTGGCAATCTGAACTGTTTATTACTATGCCATCAAAACCGTGTCAGGGCGTTACTGAATCTGCAAATATACATTATAACAATACAGTATGCGGGCAAAAAATAGAAGATGCAAGTGAGAATGGAATTGGATCACAATTAACCGGATGTTACAATGAAGGCAATAACCATATGAATTAACATCTAGAACTTCAGCTTCATTGTCAGTCAAGATTGATTAATACAGATGCATGGAAAAGTTTTGCTTATACAAAAAAAGAACGTAATGAGTGTAAAATTAGAACAATAAGATTGCTTGTTATAATTTTGGATTGATTTGTGATAAAATCGATGTAAAATACAGTATCAAAATTCAGGCAATGATATGGAGGATCCAACAAATTGTGACGGTTCAAGTGCGATTGATTCTATGTACGATTTAAGTGAATCAGAATCAGTAAATTCAGAATATGTCCCACAGAAGTCTGACTCGAAATATATTTTGAGTGATTTAGATATTATTTATTCATAAATTGTGGTTAATTTAATTAAATTTGAAATTCCGTTATTATTAATTTGTTTTATATCATAACTTTATGTACTGGATTTGGTCCTATTATAGCGCTGCTCTATTATTAATAAAAATAACAAATAACAAGAAAATGTTTTTTGCGTATTTACTTAGCAAATTAGTACAAAAATACCTCTTAATGAAAATTAACTTTCTGCATTAATTAGTAATCGACTATTTTAATTTTTGCTTTTTTGGCTCTGGCGCTGAATCACATTCCCGCACTCTGGAAGTACTTGTCCCGCGCTCGGATTTGTTGTGCTCACCGTTCTCGCTTCCTCCTCGTGGAATCCATATCAATTGTTTAAGGAGATGCTTTCGAGCGTCTTCTTGAAAACTATCGATTGGATGTATGCCTCGACGTGGTCTGATATACTAACCTCCTTCGCATAGCATTTGTGAAGTTCATTACAACCCCATCCCAAGTCATCACATACGGAATTATTTTGGTCCTGCAGTTCATCTCTGACCCAAGCTTATTAGCAAGCAGGTCATATTTTCGCTTTTTCTTGGTCTTTACTGCTGTCGACCTGTCTTGACTAGTGATCCCAGCCTCTATCAGGATTACTTCACGTGGCTTCTTATCGTGTATCATGATATTCGGTCGGTCCGCTTTCATTCTGATTGCAGTTCTCACTCGCGTATCGACTCTGATCTCAACATTCCCATTCGCAACGACCTCCTGAACAATATGGCTTCGCAAGCGCGGTAATGCTTTCAAACCATACTTCTTGCAGAGTCCCAAGTAAATGGATCGTAGGACCTCATTGTGTCTTTTAGTATAGTCGTGATGTAACATTTTTTTCGCGTTGCTAGATGGTCCACCGTCTTCACACGTTCCCTATAATGTTGACACATACCTTCTCCGTTCCAAACATATTCCTATCTTGGAGGTTACAATATCGTGCTTCATATTGCGGGGTAATGCTTCCGTATCGTAGCCATTCTGATGAATCAACTATGGACGAGATTTTATTCATACATATAGTTTTTATAATTATAAGTATTTATATATACTAATGGTATATATAATGTGCGGGAGGTCGAAGGTTATGTATCGATTGCTCGGCTCTGCCGAGTTACCGAGTGATTGAGCCGCAAACTAGTCGAATCGCATCAGAAAGCGGAAAATGGAAGATATTGAAAAAAAGAATATTAATATAATCTGGTTTTCGAAAAAGAAGTATTTTTGGAAGTTTTTTAATCTGCAATTATTTTATTTTTATGCAATGAAAAAAATCGAAGCTATCGTAGTTAATTTTGATTTTTCACTGAGTTACTAAAATTTTAAGTTGCTTGTAATTATTTACATTTCAGAAACGAAATTTAACATATTAGTGATGTATTAATTTGATACTGTATTACTTTAACTTAATAATATGATACTGTAATACTTTAACTTAACAGTACTGTTCAAAATTTATAATTCTATGCTGTATTTATTTGAAAATTAGGGGAAATGAAATGAAAAATTCTGACTCCAATCGATTAATAGATGAAAAATATCTCAAATATTATTTTTGATAATTTTAAATAACATACACGATATCAAATTGGTAATTAACAAAAATTTACAGTCACATTCAAATATCGTATCTATTACCGTAAGAGTAACCGTTACGTAAAAGCAGTCTGATTCAAGTCAAATTATTAATTTTTATATTCAGTGGAGTTTTAGATTCAGTAATTCAGAAATCTTCTGCAGGACCTGACGCAAAACGTATTGCACCATCTTTTGTCTTTTCACATCTGCAAAATTGAATAGATTATTAGGTAATAAAATTTTATTTCAAGCAGAGTAATAGTAGCAATATTTATTTTGCTTAAAGTGATAGTTTCTAAGTTTAATAAATGGTTATTTTTGAGAGTTGAGTATTGTTGTGTTGCTGATAATTGATAGTGGTCATCTGCAAGTAAGCAATTAAAGACATTTGTACTGAAATTAAATACAAAGCAATTCCCCAGTTTTATCTCACGATTTCGATGTTATAATTAATTTTATTGAAGTTGCTTATGATTCAGGAGGAAATTGGATTAATTGAGTACCACAGAAAGTAATTATTTATGTCTATGAAAATTATTTCAATTAATATTATTATTTAAACAGTTTTTAAACAAATCTGAGCGCGGGTCAAGTACAGCCAGAGTGCGGGAATGTGATCGAGCGCCAAAACCAATAAAGCGAAAATTAAAACTAACCTCCATCCACATTTTATTTATTTATATATTTTATTTGAACAGTTGAATTTTATAAACAATAACGAAGCATTTATTAAAGCATAAATTTAATGATTTCATTTTATCAAACCTAAAAACTATCATTTTTAGAAGTAAAAAATTGATAAATAATTTGAATGTGATAGGTTGATTGGAAATATACAAAACTTTTATAGATAAGCTATTCAAACCAAATTTTAGAAATAATTGTTAGCAAGAAGAACTGAGTATATTATTCAAATCAGACTGGAAAAAAACTGAAAAAGATTAGAAAGTCAAAACTTACAAAAATTTGACATTGTCGATGACCTTTTCTTCATTTACCGGAACTTGATGACCTTCTTTTGATATACAGTTTAGTACATCGATTTTTCCTGATGCTAAACAAGTTTTATTGAATCGATGATTGTCTATCCACCAAGAATCTACAAATAATTGCCATTATTCTATTGTGTATGAATCTTACAAATTTTCTTCTGTTTATACGATAAAATTATTTAAAAATATAATTATTTATTGACTGAAAGTTGCTAATATTTTTGTTTTTTAGACTAATTTTGTTTTTAGACAAAAAAGTTTCTATACACGAGAATAGCCATCTTTAAGCATTGTGGAAAATGGAGATTTTTTCGAAAGTTACAGAATCCACAAAATTTTAAAGAAGAATAAAATATTTCTACAGTATTACTAAAAACCAAAAATTTTATATTCAAAAATTGTTGCTAAAGTTTTTATACTCTGACAAACTTTAAAAAGTATGCAAAATTTTCACAAGTTTTTTTATATTCTAAAATTGCAATTTATTTTTTATTCAATGACAAAACTTATAAAATTAGAAAAAATTGAGATTCTTGAGGTAAATTTTGAACTGAAATTAAAAATATGCAATTAATTTTAGGAAATTAATTTCAAAATTTTTTCATGTTACAATTTGTATGCTAATAAAAATTATGATTACTTTTGAATGAATGATTACTTCAACAGCCGTACTGTAAATTATTATAATGTAATTTAAGTAATACGATAATTTTGAGAATTTTGCATTTTTTATTTAGTCTGGAACTAATTAGTAGACATAATTATTCAACTTTTGCTTAATTTCAGTACAATTAAATGCTTCTGATATGATTATAATTCAAAAATTCATGTCAGAATTTTGATGTCTCACAAAATTTTGCTCGAATTGAAAATTTGAAATAAGCAAATCATACCAATGGCATGATGATTGCCATCAGAATCAACGCATTCCATTTTGAATTGTGTTCCATCTAATTCCGATTCTTTCCGAACACCATGGATAGCTACTGTACCATTTTCATATTTTTCACATCTATTTTAAGAACAAATACAATATAATATTCACACAGTATGTCAATCTGTACTTTATTTGCTACTTTTTATTTATATTAGTTCATGTACCATATTTTTACTGAAGATCTTCGAAATGTTAATTATGCCACGCTCGTTAATAGAATATATATTAAGATTGTACAGTACTACAAAGCATTTGTATAATCACAAACATGGCCGACTTTATACAGTACTTATGTACTTACACATTTTACATGCAAATATTAACAACATTTATCCATGGTGTACTGTTTTTATACTATGTACTACGTACGGTTTGCATATCATGTCCACACCAATTTAAATATTGCTTAAAAATAATCTCACTATTGGTTTCTTAACTGTAACATTTTTAAATTTATTTAATAGCAGATTTAGAGATATTTGTTAATTTTTTACTTATTGATTCCTTCAGAGCATATAATATTTGATGATAATTTTTGTACATTTGAAATAAATATAGTTTATGTAATAAATATACTATATAATAGAGCAATCAACTTACGTTACTATATAACCATTAATTTCTTTAGATTCACCAATTTTTATCTGCTCTTCATTTTCACCAATGCATGCTATGAATTTTTGCTGCCCACCACGAACACATTCAAATAAAAATGCTTTTTCGCGCCAGTGTTCACCTAAAATTAAAATAAACAGATCACGTAATTATCAGAATATTTTACGTAACTTCACATAATCATGTGAATAATAAATTTCATGATAATCACATAATTATCATGAAATTTATTATTATTCACTCATTTAAATGAAAATGCACCTTGTTCATGCTCGCCACATTTAGCGTTAGGATTAACACCTCGATGGAGCACAACTCGTCCTCTATAATCTTGTGTGCAATTCCATTCACTATTTTCTTCAATAAAACTGGAATTCACTGGTACAGTAGCACCAGATGGTGTTTGACAAGCAATGATTTCAATTTTCCAGGATCCATCACCAGGCATATTACATTTCATCAAGAATGCATCTTTCTCAATCTACAAAAAAAATCAAATTATACTCTAATCAATCATAACTTTAAGTACTATTATTTTAATTTCTGTATTCGATTACTTATAAATGTTTAATTTCATTTTAAAAATATCAGTTGTAGAATATTGTGCAATGTATTTTCTTTTTCATTCATTGTATCATATTTTTGATAAATAATATAAAACAGTATATTAATGCAACAATAATATGTAATAAAATAATTACATATTATTGTTACATTTATATATTTGAACTATTTTTTAAAATATTTTCTAATAAAAATAATTAACTGTCAGGCTTTTGAGGATCAAAGCAATGTTATGTATACTTTATCATTGAATATGGTTGTTGTAATTTATTATCAAAAATACGATAACACTACAATGTAATAAGTGCTACAAATTACATGCTAGTACCTTGAGGATTATTTGTAATTTTTTTAAATTTCCGTCTTTAATATAAGTTATACAGATTAATTAACTTTTAAGGTAATTAATTATTCAGCAAAGTACTACGATTAGTTCACTTTAATTGAAAAATACCATAGCTGTATTTACTGAGAGGTTAAATTTTATTAATTAATCATAATTAATAATTACATATGATTGTTAGATTTATAAGTTTAAACTATTTAAAAAAATATTTTCTAGGGATAAATAATTAATTGTCAGGTTTTTAAAGGTTGCAGCAAAATTATTTATGATAATTTTTGGAAATAAAAAAAAACAATAATAACAATAATAATAATAATAATAATAATAATAATAATAAT